TATGGATTGTGCAGATTCTGCAGCCATTCATCTCGATCTAAGTAAACAACAGCTTTATTTTGTTTTCTCCAATTTTTATCGTATATTTTGGATCCAGAGATCAAATTCCTGTCACATCCAAACATTAATGCGAGACATTTGATACTAATATTGGGACCAAATTATGTCCAACAAAATTATCACTTTATAACTCGTGATTTTTTTTTTCTCTAAATATTTTGATAATTTTTTAATTGTATAGTTTTATTAATATAATTATAAAAACCAATATACAGTAAAAAATAAATAACAAAAATTTAATTATGAAATGAGTGAAAATGTTAAAAAATTTGATAATGAGATCATGATTTATGAAATTTTCAAATTAAAAGTTTGAATCCCCAAAAAAGTTTTGAACCAGAATTTTAAATACTTTTAAATTAAATGCAAATTTTAAACAAATTAAAATGAATACGAAATTTTGGAAGATATATGAGTATAAAAGCCAATAAAATGTCAAGAATTGAATGATTTGCCATCAATTGTGTGATGCCTTGCATTCAGTGGTCTGAGTGAACCCTCGGGTCGGCCAACCAGTTGTTGACTACATTCCAAATACTTTTGACGGCAACACTCAATGGACTTCTGCGTTGAAACCTCTCATAACTTCTTCTTCTGACGGCGAGTTTGGAGTCTTCGATGATCTCATTCCAGACCATAGCCTCCTGGCACGGGTCGACTGTGCACTTGTGTTGCAGCAACAACTTGGGCGGCAGTCGGAGACCGCATCCTCGGCGACAGTCCACCGGTTTGGACGGATTCAATGGACACTGGGATCTGTGTTTTGCGATATCTTCGAGTTTAACGGAAACAATACACCCCTCGGATGCGAACTCGCATTTTGTGGGCATTTGTTTGAGATAACTGTAGAGAAACTTTGGCGCCGGCTTTACTTTGGTGTGCGATATCTCGTTGCGGTCGATGGGACACGTGGACGGACCAAACATCGGGGTCTCAATCCATCGTCTGATACACTTCTCGCAGAATATGTGTCCGCACGGCTCCACTTCGTACGGGTTCTCGAGGACACCAAAACAAATGGGACATATGATGTCGTCGTGCACTTTGCCGTAAAATCTCGATACATCGAAACCCATGGTTTGAATATTGAAATGTTTTGCAAAACTTTTCTCAATTATTACAAATTGAAAAGTAAATGAATTAAAAATTAACAAATTCTCAGTCACTCGTTGCTTAAGTTGTGAGCAAAGAATTCAAATGAGATTCATTGCACACAACTTTTTAATTTATAGGCAATCAGTGATATATAGTTAGGGCTGTCGGGCGTCAGGAGCGCTACTCCTATTAACTAACGTTAATCTATTGAATTCCTGTTAAATCCGGTTTTTTCATTAAATTGTTATCAATTTAATTCTCGCTCTCGATATTTATTTGAGAAAGTTTTGATGAAAACTTTTCAGCAAAACTTTCTTAGCGTCGCCTCAAACCGGATCATTAGGAGAGCCACTGATGTCAATGTCATGGTTTTGAACGCGTAAACCAAACTCTTTTTCTATCGACAAACTATTTACCAAAAATATTGTTAGCAATTATAAAGCTTTATGTTTATCGGTATTTTCCATTCAGTCCTCGGGTTTAAACTATCACTCGGTGTCAAAGAGCCGTCACTTTCAATATTCAGCTCAACACTCAAATACAAAGTGTATATTTTGTTAAGCATTAACTTAACTATTCTGTAAATCAATGTATGCCTTAAATAGTGTACACATGTATACAATAGTGTACATAAACGGATAAGTTTGTTGTTTTTATCATTCAGTAGTGAGTTTACGAACGATACCATTGATCTTATTTGTTGGACACATTTGTACGGCTTTACACATCACTTACATGTCATTCATCCAAATCCTAATATTTATACTTTTTTATCGACAAAATTACTATTCTTTCCGTTTTTTATTTTTATTGATTTTTTGGGTCTATTTTCGACAATTTTATTACTATTAAAAGTGTAATGCAATGAATTCTGTTGAGCGATAACTCTGTTTTAGTCAGTAATCAGTTAATAAGTTATGTCTCAAAGATTATTTGCCTCTTTATATCGATATTCTGTATAATAAACGATAGAATAGTTCACAATATATTTTAAAGTGAATACCCCTTCAAAAAAGTTCAAACAGTATAACTTTATCACTAAAACTCAAAATATATACTATTTTTGGTGATTATTTGAAATTAAAATATTGATACAAATGTATATTCATGAGACTAAAGACGCCGTTCAGTAAATTGTATTCAATTCAATGCCATTGACATTAAAACTGTGGAGAAATGTGTGATTTTTGATATAACTTTGTAATCACTGGTTATAGCGATAGAAGTGCACAACCATTAGACTACACATACATCTTATATCTATAGTTAATACTGTATTATTTGATATTAACTAAACATGTTTTGTAAACACAATATGATTGTAACAATTACTACAAACACATTGATTTGAATACAATTAAACCGGAATATGTGTTATACAAGAATGTGGTAAACGTTCATGCTCAATTATCCATTATGCTAACATGTTTACTGTAGTTCACACTAGGTTTGAGTACATTATTGCAACTTTATTTAAAAAACCGGTCAATACTTTCAATGCAAACACGATTCACATGTTTATCAAAATAATATTTGTAAATAAAGTGACACTTAATTGTAATTAATTTGTATTTATTTAGTATAACAATAAGTTTGCTGTGATATCTGTTTGTTTAAACATGTCGTTCACTACATATTATATTTGTAATTATATTTTTAAATTAATTTCTAAATTAATATAATTAACGAAAACCTTATTTACATTTTTGAAAGTCACACAAAACGTGTAATTAATTATAAATTTTACGCACATTTCCTTTAATTACACGTGAAATACATTTTCAAAACAAATTTGGTTTTTATACGAATTGAAAATCAATTAATTATGAATTTAGGGATCATTTTAGCGACCTTTTTGCCGGCGTCTCTCTTCCTCTCAATCCTATTCCCCAATCCATCCAATGGTATGTCATTTGAACAGTACTTATGTTATATTGAATTGAATTAATATTATGTAATATTGCGGTCTAGGAGTGAGTGGACACACCTCTCCCTTCCGATACCTGCTATCGCTCTCAATCCCGGCTTTCATCGGTTGGAAGGCTTTAAACAAGAAGTCACTCGACTTGAGTGGATTCCTCACCGGTAAGACATATCATCACTCAATTTATATTACTTTTAATTCATTATAATATTATCGATAATTTGAAATCTGATTGAACAGCAATGATGTGTGGATTTGTGCTAACACTCAGCAATTATTGCTTTACGGTATCACTTCTGGTATTCTTCGTGAGCTCTTCAAAGGCAACAAAGTATAAAAGCGAACGAAAGCGTGAAATAGAAGTGGATTACAAAGAAGGCGGACAACGGAATTGGGTTCAAGTGATCAGCAATGGAGGTGTGGCCACACTATTAGCCATTTTCTATTTGCTTCAGAACGGGTCCGGAGAGACGGCAATCAATTTCATTACTGATTACGAGACATCTTGGTTGGCGACCTCTGCTTTAGGAGCCATTTGTTGCGCAAACGGCGATACCTGGGCTTCAGAACTGGGATCCGTCTTATCGACAGGCAATCCATATTTGATAACAACTCTAAAACCGGTTCCCAAAGGAACAAATGGCGGCATTTCTATCATTGGACTCATTGTTAGCGCTTTAGGAGGAATTGTTGTTTCGTTTGGATTTTTATTGACTTTAATGCTATGCGTGGAAAGTGAAGCATACAATTCCAGTCCTCCTCAATGGCCACTCCTTATAGTCGGACTCTTTTCTGGTCTTTTCGGCTCTTTAGTCGACTCACTCTTAGGAGCGACTCTTCAATACTCAGGCTTTGATAAGGAAACGAATAAAGTTGTGGAGATTGAGGGCCAACACATCCAACATATCTCTGGTCGCCTTCTACTCGACAATCATTCGGTTAATTTACTCTCAAACCTCTTCACAGCTATCGTTTCGCCTTATTTTGCGTTATATTTATGGACTAATATCTCATCAATTGAAACGTGAATTGAAAGATAAAAAACAATTTTGATATTTAAAATATGAGGTCGATTTCAATGTTCCTAAACATCGCCTCTAATAACTTATTTGTATGAATTGTTTGTGTTTTAACAAATTTACTGCTATTTGTTGCTAATAATTTAAAAACTTAACCTTTGTTTCTAACTTTTTTTAAAAAATATTTACATATAATACTTGCCTTTAGTATAAAGTTCTTATAAAGTTTAATAACGTTTAATAAATTATTTTTTATAAAAACAATATTTTTCCACTAAAATAACACTTGTTTTCACCGAACGAGAGAAACAAAATGTTTTTAATTTGCTTTTCATTGTTTATTGAGATAAAAAAGCGATGACAATATTTTTTTTCAATATAATTTTATTAATAATTTCATCAAAAGCTACACAAGTGTTACACTAATCAGGAGACAGACACACGTTTTGAGGCGACTTTAAAATCACATTAAGATAAATATAGCAAAAAATAGAAGAATATCTCTCCCGATATGTTGGCGTCAAAAAATGCAAACAAAATAATATGCAAAACAACTAATAAAAAATCTTTTGGCAGATATTAATTGAATTATCAATTTTGATGGATTCATGATTACTAGCTTTCAAAGTACAAACATGATCGACAAATTCATTTAATGTTATATTTATTTGTATAAAATAAGTAAAAATCCTTTTTTTTTGTGTAACGATTCTAAGTTCTCTACCATTTAGTTGTTATTAAACATAAGTTTTTTTTAATATTGCTTAAAAACTGGTGTTTATATAAAGATAATTGTATAAACTATTATTGTATAAAACTTTAACCTCTAAAACGTTACTCTCTATACAATGTGTGAGTATTTAGTATTTAAGAAAAAAGCTGTCCTCTCATTACACGTGTTGTTTAGAGAATTAGCGCAACCATCAGATTGAAGGCCGCATTGAAATACACTTTCGATTACATTGCGATTCAATCAGTTTTAAAGCAAATTACAAAGACTAGTCTTTTACAGTATTATAGTATTATTACATTCAATGTTTTGGCAATTGGTTTACGGTATATGTAAATGAGTGCGGATTAGGTCTAAACATTTTGCACCAAATTATACTCATTAATCTTGAGAGCGCACGGCTTTCGGAACTCTTGGCCCCTTTCGTGGATCCATTTGTTTGACACCCATTTGGAGCCGACGAGTACAGGACAGGCCGCGTGTCGGGTCAACATATCTCCGTCGCCCGACTTATAGAGGTTGTACCAGAAGGCAGACGAAGACTTCTTCGGCCAAACAGACACTCCTAACAGTGGAAACACTGTCGCACCGCCCGCTTCCACATCACTCATGTAGTTAAGCCAAGTGGCGATCCGATTACCGGTTCCTAACGATATAGTTATAATGCATATGAAAGTCAATTATTTAACAATAGATTTAAATATGGCATAAATTTTGCAATTAAAAAGTTTTACAATTAAGTAATGAACCCAAGTATAAGGACATGTGAAAGGGGTTTACGTGCAAAATGTAATCTATCTTTAAATTAATTATAAACTATTTTTCCAAAACGTGTTTAAAATTTTCTTTTCTAAACACCAAATGAATAAATATTTTGACTAAATTGTNCATTGATTTGAATACAATTAAACCGGAATATGTGTTATACAAGAATGTGGTAAACGTTCATGCTCAATTATCCATTATGCTATAAGATAACATGTTTACTGTAGTTCACACTAGGTTTGAGTACATTATTGCAACTTTATTTAAAAAACCGGTCAATACTTTCAATGCAAACACGATTCACATGTTTATCAAAATAATATTTGTAAATAAAGTGACACTTAATTGTAATTAATTTGTATTTATTTAGTATAACAATAAGTTTGCTGTGATATCTGTTTGTTTAAACATGTCGTTTACTACATATTATATTTGTAATTATATTTTTTAATTAATTTCTAAATTAAACATAATTAATGAAAACCTTATTTACATTTTTGAAAGTCACACAAAACGTGTAATCAATTATAAATTTTACACACATTTCCTTTAATTACACGTGAAATACATTTTCAAAACAAATTTGGTTTTTATACGAATTGAAAATCAATTAATTATGAATTTAGGGATCATTTTAGCGGTCTTTTTGCCGGCGTCTCTCTTCCTCTCAATCCTATTCCCCAATCCATCCAATGGTATGTCATTTCAACACCACTTATATTGAATTGAATTAATATTATGTAATATTGCGGTTTAGGAGTGAGTGGACACACCTCTCCCTTCCGATACCTGCTATCGCTCTCAATCCCGGCTTTCATCGGTTGGAAGGCTTTAAACAAGAAGTCACTCGACTTGAGTGGTTTCATCACCTGTAAGACATATCATCACTCAATTTATAGTACTTTTAATTTATTATAATATGATTGAACAGCAATGGTGTGTGGATTTGTGCTAACATTAAGCAATTATTGCTTTACGGTATCACTTCTGGTATTCTTCGTGAGCTCTTCGAAGGCAACAAAGTATAAAAGCGAACGAAAGCGCGAAATAGAAGTGGATTACAAAGAAGGCGGACAACGGAATTGGGTTCAAGTGATCAGCAATGGAGGTGTGGCCACACTATTAGCCATTTTCTATTTGCTTCAGAACGGGTCCGGAGAGACGGCAATCA